AAACGCAACGTAGAACCGCAGAGCAAATGCTTCTGTTTCTCGAAGCAGTCGTGGCCGCAGACAACGCAACACAGAACTAAACATCAAGGGACAACGTTCGGTTCAATGTTGTGCTGCCTTCCGCCGCGACTCCTTCGATAAACACAAGCATATGCTCTGTGGTTTTATTTCGTGTTTTATTTCTACCACCAAATAGTCACCTTTTCAAGTTGTCAGACGCTATGCGAAGATAGATAAATGCATAAAAATAATTGTATTCTATAGTTATATGACAGGGGTTATATTGTTTGTACAGGCTATGTCGCATCGTTAGCAGGCTATTAAAGACGTTTTTTCCCAAATTTTACCTGTTTTACATACCAATATAATTACATTAATCATTATTGTGTTCAATATTCATAGTCCCTTCTGTTAGCAAACCCCCAAGAAAATAGGACAGAATGATATCATCATCAACGTTCCAGAGCATAGAACATGTCGTTATATCTCGTAAATCAATATTAGGCCCAACAAGATGGTCAACAAGATGTGGTTGAGTCTTTTTGCACTACATAAAGACATGCTTGATTATGTCACAGGCAAACGGTACCACATAAACATTCCTTAGATTATATAGTACTAAGACATTATAAATACTCTAAATCATTGAAGAGATCGTTTTTCAGTCGTTACTAGCCATAACCTGTGTACCTTGGTTGATCACATTAGAGACAATCGTTTTAGGTTTTCTCTTGAATGAAGCTCAATTCTTTCTCTAACACTCCCCGCCCATGCATGTCTGTTGGGAAATAGAGAAGGTGTAGTATAGGTATTTATATCATTAATTAGTTCGTACTTATTTACAGGGCGGTGGGATAGCTCAGTTACGCTGAAGGCCCGGGTTCTATTCCCGACATTGGTACAATGTGTGAAGCCCATTCCTGGTATCCCCCGCCGTGATATTGCCGGAATATTGCTAAAAGCGGCGTAAAACCATATTCACTCACTAACTTATTTACAAGTGATCAAAATGTGGTTTACAGGTGACATTTTACATTTTTCATCTCTTGCTTTAATTTGATCGAGTTGATACTGAACACGTCTGTGCTGTAGTAGTGTTTTAAATGCAAAGTGTATGTCACTATTACATCTTCATCCAAGGTATACGAGAGTCCGTTGATCCATGTACGCCTGAAGAGAAATTAAACCAAGACAATGTCTGGTAACTGTCTGCTTCTAGATAATCCGTGAATCTTTTTACAGAAATAAAATAAGGTAATTTCAAACATTTTGTATGCCTTAGATGACAGGTTGCATCATACATTACAGGAATATAACATATATGCTATTATCAACCCGTCCCATATACGAACAGCTGAGATAGATTTTAGACCACAAAAATATGGACCATGATTACAATTTTAATTGACTAAAAAATGAGGTTTTTACATATTAAATGGGTTCGTTCTTTCGTTTTCTTTGATGTGCTTAAAGCAATTCAGCATAGGTCACATTTTCCTTTTCAGAATGTACTTGTTTACAAATATAAACATGTTGACAAACAGTAGAAATGCACTTTTACAAGAGTTGCACTTTAAGTACCACCACAACAACGTAGTATCGTCTGCTGTATTGCCCCTTGGAACACATGCCTTGAGTCATCAATAGAATACAAGAAGTCACTGATACACAGAGAAAACAGCCATACTTTTCCTTTAATAACAAAATTATGCAATTTGAAAAAAGACCATTGAGCCAAACTCAAGCGTTCTCGTTGTCGAGGAAAGCGCAGTGAACTGGAGACTGTCTTTCTTTATAATAAGCTATGCTTTCAAGTAAACATGGCAGTTCTGCTCCAGCACCCCGCACTTTCCGCTTTTTAGACGTTTTATAGTTGTCAATTACTCATAACGTGTGAATGCATTGTAGTTATGTGTTGTGTTATGTCAACTGTAGTAGCTGCCTTGGGGAATACCTACATATTCACCGTGGTTCTAAATTGTGTTATGTCTACCACCGCGACCACTTCGAGGAACACCTGCATGTTCTCCCTCGATCTATATTGTGTTCTGTTTACCAACGCGACCACTTTGAGGAATACCTGCATATTCGCTGTAGTTCTATATTGTGTTCTGTCTACCGCCGCAAAACTTCGAGGAACACCTACATATTCATCCGTTGTTCTATATTGTGTTCTGTCTACCACCGAGACCACTTCGAGGAACACCTACATATTCACCGTGAATCTATATTGTGTTATGTCTACCGCAGCGACCACTTCGAGGAACACCTGCATATTCTCCCTTGATCTATATTGTGTTCTGTCAACCACCGCGACCACTTCGAGGAATACCTGAATATTCTCCGTCGTTCTATATTGTGTTCTGTCTACCACTGTGACTGCTTCGGGGAAAACCTGTATGTTCTTTGTGGTTCTATATTGTATCATGTCTACCACCGCGACCACTTTCAGGAACACGTGTATATTCTCTGTGGTTCTATATTGTCTTCTGTCTACCATAGCGACCACTTCGAGGAACACATGTTTATTCTCTGTGGTTCTATATTGTGTTCTGTCTACCAACGCAACCACTTCGGCATAAACCTGCATATTCACCGTGGTTGTATATTGCGTTCTGTCTACCAACGCAACCACTTCGGGATAAACCTGCATATTCACCGTCATTCTATATTGTGTTATGTCTACCACCGCGCCCGAGTCGGGGAAAACATGCATATTTTCTGTGCTTCTATACTGTGTTCTGTCTACCACCGCGACCAAGTCGGGGAAAACATGCATATTCACCGTGGTTCTTAATTGTGTTATGTCTACCGCCGTGAGCACTTCGAGGAACACCTGTATATTCTCCCTCGATCTATATTGTGTTCTGTCTACCAACGCGACCACTACCAGGAACACTTGTATATTCTCTGTGGTTCTATAATGTGTTCTGTCTTCCACTGCAACCACTTCAAGGAATACCTGCATATTCACTGTGGTTCTATATTGTGCTATGTCTACCGCCGTGACCACTTTGAAGAACACCTACATATTCTCCATCATTCAATAATGTGTTCTGTCTACCACCACAACCGCGTCGAGGAACACTTGCATATTGACCATGGTTCTATATTGTGTTCTGTCTACCACCGCGACCACCTCGAGGAAGACTTGTATATTCTCTGTGGTTTTATATTGTGTTCTGTCTTCCACTGCAACCACTTCAAGGAATACCTGCATATTCACTGTGGTTCTATATTGTGTTATGTCTACCGCCATGACCACTTTAAAGAACACCTACATATTCTCCATCGTTCAATATTGTGTTCTGTCTACCACTGCGACCACTTCGAGGAATACCTGCATATTCACTGTGGTTCTATACTGTGTTCTGTCAACCACCCGACCACTTCGAGGAACACCTACATATTCTCCATCGTTCTATATTGTGTTCTGTCAACCACTGCTACCACTGCGAGGAATACCCGCATATTCACTGTGGTTCTATATTGTGTCATGTCTACCACTGCGACCACTTTGAGGAACACTTGTATATTCTCTGTGGTTCTATATCGTGTTCTGTCTACCACCGCGACCACTTTGAGGAACACTTGTATATTCTCTGTGGTTCTATATTGTGTTCTGTCTACCACTGCGACCACTTCGAGGAACACTTGTTTATTCTCTATGGTTCTATATTGTGTTCTGTCTACCAACAAAACCACTTCGGGATAAACCTGCATATTCACCATGGTTGTATATTGCGTTCTGTCTACCACTGCGAACACTTCGAGGAACACTTGTTTATTCTCTGTGGTTCTATATTGTGTTATGTCTACCACTGCGACCACTTCGAGGAACACTTGTATATTCTCTGTGGTTCTATATTGTGTTCTGTCTACCAACGCAACCACTTCGGGATAAACCTGCATATTCACCATGGTTGTATATTGCGTTCTGTCTACCACCGCAACCACTTTGAGGAATACCTGCATATTCTCCGTCGTTCTATGTTGTGTAATGTCTACCACTGCGACCACTTCGAGGAACACTTGTTTATTCTCTGTGGTTCTATATTGTGTTCTGTCTACCACCGCGACCACTTCGAGGAACACCTGCATATTAACTGTGGTTCTATGTTGTGTTCTGTCTACCACCGCGACCACTTCGAGGAACACTTGTTTATTCTCTGTGGTTCTATATTGTGTTCTGTCTACCACCGCGACCACTTCGAGGAACACTTGTTTATTCTCTGTGGTTCTATATTGTGTTCTGTCTACCACCGCGACCGCTGCGAGGGATACTTGCATATTTTCCGTACACATGTCCCAAGGCGTCACACATCAGGCTATATGATGGATTTTGACTTGTTTTGTCATTATGTGTATTCTCTATTGACTGGGGTGACTTGTGCATCGTCGAACATAGTTTCATTGTTGCAATTATGCTATTTCGTTTTCGCTGAAATATTTATATAACTGTGTTATTTGCACATAGTTCTTTTTCATGCTTCTCCAATCACAAGTATTTTCCTAACAAAGGAGTCAAACAAATATTTCATTATGGCATCATTTGAAGATTTCTGAGTCATGCTTTGTGTTGTGATAAAATTTATCTCAAATACTAAATACCCTGATGACTATGATCATCTCGTTTGTTAACATGATTAAACATCAGGTGCTCTCCATACGAGTTTCCCAATCACCGCCATGTCCTCTCTTCATTTACATTTAGATAAATTAATCACAACGTGTTCGATAGTGTCACATGGTCACATTGTCTTATCTGTTAACGACTTGTGTCGGTACATTACCTGGACTGTTACCCAACAATATTACCCGGTCTGGGTATGACCTCAACCCGATACATTTAACCAAAATTGGCTTTTATCATGCTAATTTTAGCGACAACATTTGAAGATACGTCATGCCTCACTGTCCACTGAGCTCGGAGAACATGTCCCCTAGAAGTGATATGCCAGCGCGCAACACTGACGTGAAAAACATCACGCACACGTTTATAGTGAAATAAAACATTTATCACAACCATTGCAATCGTGCGTGCATAGACATTGGAACAATATTTAAAACATATTGCACAAAAAGGGTGAGCAGTGAAACAAGGAACAATCTGTATCTTGTGAGCTGATGCATGTTTGTACACGTGGTTTAAAAGTCGGAAGTAAATAACGTTCTTTCCTTTGAAATATATGCGTGTATCCATCTCCTTATGGCAATCACAACGTTCAATAAACTTTCACTCAACACAATGGAAAAACACATGTGGTCAGTCGTTCTGTATTCATGGCAGGCACCAGAGGGAAGTGTTTCCGAGAGGAGGGGGGCGACGGGGTGGAAAGAACAAGCAACAGTCCCGCAGTTCACATCGGATCTCACGAGCACTCAAATGGGTAAACAGCGGATCTATTATGTTCAACTTGAAACTTTTAAAAGTGAGTGGACGAACATCCACTATCATCGGCAGTATTTCCAGCTGTAGTCACACTTGATCCGTTTGCAACGTTGCTCTTCACCTCACCTTCCGTCTGGTGTGCACCCTCGTAACTCTCAACTCGCATCACTTCAAATGTATCCCCGTGTCTACGCATGTAGGCACATCTCCGATGGCGCTGTTTCCTTGCAGGTAGGCAAGAGTAGTAGGCACTGAAGTTTGTGGCAATGATTGCAATGGGCATGGAGAGCGTCACAAGCCCTGACAGGGCACATATGATACCAACTACATAGCCTGGGATGGACTCCGGGTAATAATCGCCGTACCCTACAGTCGTCATGGTGATTATGGCCCACCACAGAGCAACCGGGATGTTTTCAAACGTGTTTGTTTCTGCTAACACCTCAGCAAAATAGGCCAGTGTTCCAAATATGTTGATGGCAATAATCAACACAGTGAACAACATGAAGATTTCTTTGATGCTTGCCTTGTAAGTGAGAAACAGTACCTTCATGCTGTCAAACCTGCGTGCTATGTGGAATATACGTAATATTCGCAGAGAGAGTAAACTCCGGAGGACAATGACGATGATAGTGACCTCCTGTGATTGGTTGTTTTTCAATACAATCTCGTCAAGAAAGAATGAGCCCCACATTATGAAGACAAGTGCAAGGTCGACCAGGTTCATGAAGGAGCGGAAGAAGGTCTTCTTGCTTGGTGAGACCACGAACCGGAGGGGCAGCTCGAGGGTGAAGAATACGATACACGACACGTCCAGGTAGAACAGAATGACGTGGGAGTCACTCTCTAAGAGGGTACGAAAACTCTGGTAGGGGCCGGTTGTGTTGGTGCTGTTGGTGTTTGGCCTCTCTACCCGCAGTTCCCGGACTGAAGACAGGGTGAACACTACTATGGCCAGCAGGACGAAGATGAGATAGATGAGGTTCCATACCTGAAACACAAGACTACACAATGATGTATGTGCATATTGGCAGGGAAATACACTATTGCTAGCGGTTGTCAATCTTATATAAACAGCTCATATTAGAAATCTGTTTGATGGCTGTTCTGAATAGCACTTCCGCTATCGTTTCACTGTTTTTTCTGGTCCATCACTTGTTCGTCTGGTTTGTTTTACAGACCACCGGCGCATATCAGGAGTACTGCTGTGCGGCGCCAGGCAACAAACAAAGACTTACTATTTAATGCAAATTGTTCAAGTGGTGGGTGCTACCGGTGGGGCAGGACATGCTTCCCTTTACGCGAACACCTGTGTCATCACCTATACTCTGTGATCCTTTCATGTAATTGTCAGCGCTACACCCAGTGGAATCTGTTCGGGAGATAAGCGAGACTGGTTATTCTCTCGTGTTGCCGTTTTATTTACAGTGACATTCATTCAGGGAGACCTTTACACTGTAAATGTGTAAAAAAGAGACAATATGACTTTCCATAAGGGATCCGCTAGGCCAGACAGAAATATCAACTTGTACTGTTAAGGACACGTTGTAGTAACTCGAACACCGTTGTGTCGAAGTTAAAGGGACCTACGGAAATACTTCAAGGTATCCAAGTTTCGTGACAACCGAAAATGATAAATTAGCTAGGAAGGAATAACAGAAGCCATGCTTTTACTTCGAGACAACATTAAGTTCAACACACCAAAGTTCGACAAAACGGCTTTTGACTGTTTGTGCATGAAAATGTTACCAGACATTTTCAAATGGATGGTATCTGGTATCGTTTCTGCTGTACTTTTGCAATTTATGGACGTCAGGGGAAATGTATCTTTCTGGTGCCAAGCAATTTATGAATTAAGAACTTCCAGAAACTTTCGCAAATGAGTGTATTTGTAAGCATTTAGCTTTACTTATACATTTAGTGTAGTAATAAATCCAAAATATGCGTCTGCTTAAATGAACAATGAACACATATGATAAAGGTTTTCTCATTTCTGAGTGTATGCAGATCGTGTAGCCCCAGGATGGCCTCCACTCTACCCTGTCCTTTGATTGAGGAGGACGTGCGAAGAATATATGAATACCCACATAATAAGATTAAGAAGGAGAAGAAGAAGAGTAAGAGGAAGAGTAAGAATGAGTTTATATGGCGCCTAAATCCATCTCTAGGTGTTCAGTGGAGCTGTCCACATAAATAAACACATGTGGAACAGATGAGACGTGTCTTAAACTGGGATGGAGAAGATGATGTCCTTCTTTATACTTATTTGGTGTGTTAAATCAAATATTTAACATATTCTAGTTAATCAGTACGGGGGTCATTCAAGTATAGAATATGAGCAATATTTGACTTGAGTATAAAGCGTGAACACTATATTACCAGTCTTGTGGAGTATAAGCTAGTAAAAGAGTTTGAATTGTTATTATTATTTTGTATTGTATGTACACCCTGAGAGGAGGAGCACCTCACTTGGTCTATTCATGATGAGTATTGAACCTTCATAGACTATATGAAAGGCGCACGCCTTATCCATGGGGCTACCATACCGTTATTATTTACCACTAGAAACCCACATGTCTATTAGCACATGGATGGGGTATTGGTTTCAATCACTTGGTAGTATAATCTAGTACAGATGTTACAAGCGTACAAGCATGTGAAGTCTTTTCTTGAGCACGTTTACTGTCGTTAAACCTCCGTTACACAGCCAGCGTGTATGATATCCGACTTGTGTTACATGTGTGTGTGTGTGACGTGTATATAGGTATCTATTTTAGTTCCTTATCCTCTGTAAACTCCACCTTATTGTAATACCTCACCACGGTCGGGTAGGCTTAACCTATTTATTACAAGGCAGGACTCTATAGACCAGTGGCATGTACGTACCACAAAGCCACCTCAACGCTCCAATACAATACTGATTTATGGGACGAATGGCTTGATTTTACATGGCCACGTTGTTTAACATGAGGAGACAGATTAGACATATGTAGCCCACTCATGAACATTACCCACCGTTGAAATCATAGACTTAACATTTAGGCTCTGAAATGAACATATTTTACAGAAAAAAACAGCAGTTAAATTATCTTCTATAATAAAATCCTTCATTTTCAGAAACTGCAGTATTCTAGACTTGCTGTATGACAGACTATTGAAATCACAAAGCTGTGTCTATAATCGATTGAAGTCTTTAATTGACCTACATACCATCACGATTCTACAAAGTAGATTGCTAATCATTAGCCACAACCTCAGCGGAACTAACGACTTTCATTGTACAGATTTTACTGACTGTGGCTGAATGCTATATATTCTGTTAAATCTCACACTTAAGCTAAAACCGATTGACTACTTTCAACTCTGTGTGAGGACCACGTCCGTCCCTGCATGTTAGATTAGGGAGAGTTGTTACTGGGAATCCCCTCTGCGACATGTGGTCAAATACCTACTGTGTTTATGATACGTCGTGCCAGGTCGCCTTGACATATATGATCACTTTACACTGACAGCACACGCCCATACAGACAGAGGAATGAGAGAGTGCGGTCATGCACTATTTCATTACGTAAAAGCTGTATAATAAGTTATGCATAACTTGCCGCGATATGAACACGTTGTCCTACTTAATTATAATGTGTGTCCTATTTCACCTGCATATACAGCAGCAGAAGTATTGTGCGGGGCATTACGGAAACATAACGCCTCTATGTTATAAGTGGTCTCGGCAAGACGTACCTACATTGTAATCCCCTGAATATTGCCGCCTTACAGGGGATCGATATCGGCCGGTGGCTATTGTCCTGGAAGAAATTTCCTCGACGATAAAGCCAAAGCTACAATTGTAATGTAATAATAGCGTGAACTAAGCCTAAGTACTCAAAACGTTACCTATGAACTGTATCGGCCCTGGCATTTGATATAATCAACTGAAATCTGTTCTTTCTTCTACTGACGTCTATTCAGAAGTGAAACCCGCAAACTTTTAATTCATGAGAGGTCAACTCATATTGTGATTTATATCAGAACATGTTTTTCCAACATAATGTTCCCCCACACGCGGCCATGTTCCCCCACTAATTCCCCCTATACAGACACTCAGGAGCCCATTACGAACATCACGGTGGATCATGGCCGGTCCTAAACGACCGCTACTTGAACAACAAGTGCGAATGATATTCCTTTTCATATTGCTATGAATCAAACACAGGACTTGACATGCGTTTTGGAAAACGATGAGTGATGGTACATAAATAAATGTGTATTGACATAGTTCTATGTACACATACCATGTGCAATGTCTAGTATATCAAAGCTACATGCATACAGTATTATCATACGGCCTACACTATGGCAACTGGTTGATAACTGCACCACTTTACCTTGGCGGTCTGGGAGTAGAACGGTTTCTCCATCGTCAGCCAAATTTTCTCTTTCCAAGATGGGTGAGTCTCCGAGGAAGTGCCATTTTCTCCCAATGTTTTATCCAAAATGTTCAAAATTTGTGTCTCTTGCATTTGTTCGGTGTATTTATTCCAGCAACATTCGGAGATCATCTCCTCCGGGATGTCCCAGAACTCGAGTTCCTGTTTGAGGGCTAGGCCACACATGGTAGACGGTAGGTGCAGCTCGCGAGTCCTATACAGGTTCAGGATCGAGTTCACCACCTTCGGGTCTCTGTCAAAGAAGAACTCATTTATGTCGGGGTCATATTCAGGCGAACTTTGAGTCAATCGACCGAGCCTTGTCTTTGGAAGTTTTTGAATGGTTTTCCAATAAGTGACAAATTTCTTCCCCGCGACGTTGATTGTGATCCTGTCCATGTCAGCTGGGGTAGAGTATTTTGGCCAGGGCCCAGCTAGAGCATTACCACACGGGGTGCTGACCGAGCTCTATACAGGTGGAGTTACACCATCAGCTCTCTGACGTTATCCCCGTGTATACCAAACAGTGTACACGTAAGGAGCTCATTGTCCCGTGGGTGGTTTCTAGCCGCCTTGTATTCAGTAATATATAATTTATAGCCTATGTAAAAATTGGATGTAATGTAAATATTACAAGCTTTTGTCATATGTAAGTGGAGCGTTTAGCTTACTTCAAACTTTCATTGAATGACATAACATCTTGTCACACCAATCCAACAACGGATATCAGCAGCCTATCAGCTTGGCAAAGACTTGTATTTGATATTTAGCTTCCAGCAACAGGCTGGCGATATGTTTGAGATCCTCCGGGTCATCTCGCTCTCGTTCAGCCCAGCACTGTTGAGCAGTACAGTAGTGAACTATCGCAATAAATATAGTTTAGTTATATCACGTGCTTGTCTAATGTTGGAGGCAAGCGCAGTCAAGTGACGCCGGTCATAACCGTTAATACGTTTTGCTGAAAGCCAAGATTGCGAGTATGTTGCTTACCACACAAGGATCATAATCAGGGCGAACCTGTGCTCCGAACTCGCCATCAGCAGATCCTGACATGGCAAAGGGACGTAGTCCAGCACGTAAAGGTTCCTCGCCTCATACTAATGTGACCTCCACTCCCCCTTTCCACCCCACGCGTGCCCCCTAGGAGAGGTGCTAGAGAGGCAGAATCCGCACTCTAGCACTCGGGCGACTAAATTGGATAGGCTAGTCCGTCCAACCCATTTATCAGTCCCCCCATTTGACTGACAGGTCAACAAGGGTAGGTTGTTGATGCTGAGCTTGGTCTAACTATTGTTGCCATGGATCAGCCCAGATTGGCTAAGAGTGTCTCAATTAACACATGTCAATACAAATATAGCTATAACTGTTTTGTACTAAAGCCGAGCCTTAAAGAGAACAATCTGTTAGATGACAAGTATTGTTTATCAAGCTTGGTTGTTGAACTCCACTGAAGATAACGACCACTGTTTACTGAGTGCAGACTGGGGAATCAAAACATAGCTAAAGCCACAGCTGTCGAAATTACTTGTAACACATAATTACCAACCAGATATGTATGTATACAAACAGTGTAATTATATTTCTTTCATTAGACATTGTTACACATAACTGCCAATTTGTTACTACCAAACTTTCAAGATGTTTATTAAAATGCCGCAATGTAATCATTCATTGTCTGTTGAAAAAGAAGATATTTGAAGAGTCACAAAAATACCACGAAACCACGAAGGCGGTCAAAGACATGGAGAAGGCTGATAAAATCAAGATAGCTTTTCTCAACCTTGGTGCTCTTCCCTCTCCCGAACGTATTTGGATGCCGCTGGAAACCTAGTGAAATTGGATTCGAATTATTGAGGAGATACCTCGAAAATAGAGAACATGCTCTTTTTATTTAACACAATTTGAGGTTGTAAAGATTTATAAAAAACAACTTTTTTTGGTAATAGTAATCATTTGTGTTTAGTTTGCTAACTTTTTTGTGGTCTACTGCATTTGTAAAGATATCAGTGGATGGAGTAGTACTCCACTCAACCATGACTTAGGTGAGTGAGTGAGTAAGTATTGCTTTACGCCGCTTTTAGCAATATCACCAGAAAAAGGCTTCACAGCAAGTTTTTTTTCCAAAATATATTCTAGGATATAGTAACACGTACATCAAGTTGCAAACAGAAATTTTTTTTATTCTTCAAACATGTGCAAATGTATAAATTCTTAGTTAATTGCAATAGGCACATTGATAGACAAACGTGTATTTAGCCCCGAGTTCATGGCGATTTCATGATGAATCGATTGGAAGTTTATTGCACCGTCACTTTTCCTTTGGTAATCATTGGCGGTATTAACAGGTTGTACGTGGCTTTCATAGATAACATCCATGCTTAATTTAATCTTATAACAGTATGTGAAGGTTCGTGATTTTAATCCCATCACGGGACTCGGAAATGTTTGGCCGCTTCACATATATAGGACATCAAAAATTGTTATGCACTTATCACTTTCACTGAGAAAAGTGCGTTGTTTATTTTTGATATTATACATCTATTTAGGCATGGGTTCTTGCGTCACATCAAGGGCTTTATGGACACATAAGTGTCACTTTTCAATAACAGACCCATTTTGTGAGCACAAAGGATTTACAAAAAACTGTAAAGGGCAGTGTACCATAAACATTACAGGAAGATGCTGTACTCGAGGATTTTATAAATTGCTACACACATCAACGCAGATAAAACGCATCCTCTACATAATGTAAACCACAAAGAACACAAGAGCGCTGAATTTTAATTATCCCAGCATATGTTCCCTCTTCTTCAACTAACGTGGACATACATGTAAGGATTCTTCTCATTTTGCGACCACATAAAGCTAAGGAAGAATATGAAATATGAAATATAGTTTTAATTTGAAACTATCTGGTGTTGTAGATGTGGGGAAGAAAACATCAAGTTTCCGCACAGAGTCCCAGGCACCACTAAATAAGTTTGATATCAAATTGGGTTTAAGATATACGGCAAGTGGAAATGTGAACTATTATTCAGTAGCATGTTACAGAAGCCAGCTTGCATGATCTAAGAATGAAGTTAATCTGATATTTTATATAATTGTGAAAGTGTTTCAAAACAACATAGCAGAGTAACGTGACACTAGTTTTCAGAAGAGGATCCATATCCCTCACATCTTCCCCAGGCAAGGGAGTTAACTGACTATAAACGGGTCCAGTGTCCACCCTTGCTGAACTAGGCTGGAATTTCCTGGTTCGATCGTAGCCTCACCAGAGTTATGTCCCTTCTATGTCCCTCCTATTGACAATCAGATTCCACCTCTCATATCACTTGCATTTGCATCAAACAACATGGCGGTGCACAGTCAACTGATTACGTTAATCGAAAAAAAACCTCACGGTCCCTGTCACAAAGACACCCAGTGCCAATCAGTAAAGCCTTTGCAGGGTGGAAAAGACATTTTCATTTCGACAAGGACGGGTAGTGGGAAATTCCTTCCATACGAATGTGTGCCAGTGTAAATGTGTTTGAAGGATCGCGTTCACCTACTTACCCCCCCCCCCCCCCCCCCCCCCCCCACACACACACACACACACACCCACCCACCCCCTCCCCCCGCCCCCATGGTAGAACAGCACGAGGTACTAAACAACCTGTGTAGAACAACGCTTGAGTAATTTGATAGAAAACGAGAAGATTTGGAAATGGTTGATGGTACACATGAAATTGACCGAAATCTGAACAGCAGTCGCCATGTTGTTTACGACAAGGGTGGAAACTGGACTTGTATTGTCTCTTGCCTCAGGACGATGTATCCTTTACTGTTATGAATTGTTCTAAATTTTCTAACACCGGCGTCATGTGAAGTTTCTCATAATACCAACCCCTGGTTATAGGCAGCAGTGATATGCATAATAGTATATTGCTGACAACGATTATAAAACATTAAATAGAAATTGTACATGTTACGAACGTATCTGTTGTAGTAGACAAGGACGTAGCAGTACATACTATTCTATGCGTACATTTGATAATATATCTATTCATGGCCATCTTGTCAGCTCGCATGTTAAAGACACCTTTGGGAGCCATAGGGTGCCAAGAGACGCCATGTGATATCTCTTACAGGACCATGACAAAGTCTAGTTTAATATCAATTACAGGATCCTGGGATTGATATAACTGCTATTTCAGTGTGAGCATAATGACTAAACACAAATGTTGTTTTGAAATATTCACGATCTAGGTTTGTTGAAATCCCCACACGGGCGTGAGGTCTGTATGTACTGATTTGTATGCCGCACAAAGGAAATCGAAGAATTCACATCCATGATCCAACACTACCCGCAATGCAACATTCACTTTCAAAATAGATTCTGCTAGCAGTTGTGCATAATTCCCCAAAGATCGATGTTACATGATTAGGTACTACCATTTACGGTTCAACATCATACCATGTCCTGACATTAGTTTGTAAGGCAACTAGATCTGTCATCTACAAGCAATCGAATATCTGACCCGGATTGCCTGTAAGTTCCGCATATCACTGCGATTAAAGCGATAGTTGACGAATCGTTTTATTGACAATAGTGGTGATAAGTATCCTCAATTCTGTTGATGAACATGTAGTTTGATACACATGCTAGAAATACATGTTACTGCATGTTCGACCCGTGAAAATTCGGGGTAGAATCGGTCTTCAGCAACTCATGCTTGCCGTAAAAGAGGACTACGCTTGTCGTAAGAGGCGACTAACAAGATCGGGTGTTTAGGCTCGCTGACTTTGATGCATGTCATCGTATCCCAATTGCGTGGATCGATGCTCATGATGTCTATCACTGGATTGTCTGGCCTAGACTCGATTATTTACAGACCGCCGTCATATAGCTGGAATATCGCTGAGTTAAACAACAGACAAACAATTGATGGCACAAGGCTGTGAGAAAACAATACATTTCAACAATAGTATCCGTCGACACGTTCTAGCCTGTGATGAGACTTGAAGTTCAGATGCTAGTATTGATCTTGAAGACTTTAACAACATGCCAGGTATGTGGTTAAATATTGTAATACGCTTTCACAACATCTACTTGAATCTTCATTTTGTCCAGTATTACATTTACAAACAACAAAATATTTTTTTTAACTGAAGTCGATTTGAAAAGTTGAGAAGAGAGTGTTTGAATTTTAAAGAACCTTCCCATTAGAAGTATACTCATGAACCGCGTAGTACATGTTCGCAAACACGCTGAAGTGGAAACTACACTGTCCATTGCTACCTGCTCTTTACTAATCCATTCACGTGTGTGCCACTCCCTACTTCTCCTACAAGAGGAATGAACAGGCCATGAGACAGACAATGGCTCCTGGTCTCTTGTCGAGTTCTCACCATTTAGATGTTTTAAACACTTGATATTAACTGTTATTCTTGTCCGCGGGTACCAGAATGTTCGGTCAATTTAACACAAGTGCCTCACTCTACACTGATGACGTGAGACAGCATGTTTTCAGAGGACTATTTGAAATTACAGAGAGTCATGAGCAAAAACACGCCCTTTCAACAGTCTGATGGCCTTTATCTGTATATTGTTTCCCGGCAGATACAGCAGTATTGACTGATACATACATATGACGGAAGAAAAACAGCACCTGGAAGTATGAGTAATTGCCCTCGAGGCAGCGTGTATCTGCTGTGATGGTTGCTGTGAGGTGATTAGTATTCATGATCATATGTTTGCACATGTTCACTGCACACTACAAGATTGTATCAATAACGTTATATTCTGCTTATAACCTGAATTGAGTTGAGGGAAGAGGAATTACAACTCAACCAGTAATGTAAGATCTTTGTTGACGTGACCAGTTGACCAGAAATATACCATCGCACATGGCCACAATAAAACACAAGAGTGACTGACTGGTACATAGGTAACCTACAACATAAAGTACAACAATGACTGGCTGGTACACAGGTAACCTACAGCATAAAGTACAAGAGTGACTGGCTGGTACACAGGTAACCTACAACATAAAGAACAACAATGACTGGCTGGTACACAGGTAACCTACAACATAAAGAACAACAATGAGTGGCTGGTACATAGGTAACCTACAGCATAAAGTACAAGAGTGACTGGTTGGTACACAGGTAACCTACAACATAAAGAACAACAATGGCTGGCTGGTACACAGGTAACCTACAACATAAAGAACAACAATGGCTGGCTGGTACACAGGTAACCTACAACATAAAGAACAACAATGACTGGCTGGTACACAGGTAACCTACAACATAAAGAACAACGATGACTGGCTGGTACACAGGTAACTTACAACATTAAGTACAACAATGACTTGCTGGTACACAGGTAACTTACAACATTAAGTACAACAATGACTGGCTGGTACACAGGTAACTTACACCATAAAGTACAACGATGACTGGCTGGTACACAGGTAACCTACAACATAAAGAACAACAATGACTGGCTGGTACACAGGTAACCTACAACATAAAGTACAACAGTGACTAGCTGGTACACAGGTAACCTACAACATAAAGTACAACAATGACTGGCTGGTACACAGGTAACCAACAACATAAAGTACAACAATGACTGGCTGGTACACAGGTAACCTACAAGATGAAGTACAACGATGACTGGCAGGTACACAGGTAACTTACAACATTAAGTACAACAATGACTGGCTGGTACACAGGTAACTTACAACATAAAGTACAACAATGACTGGCTGGTACACAGGTAACTTACACCATAAAGTACAACGATGACTGGCTGGTACACAGGTAACCTACAACATAAAGTACAACGATGACTGGCTGGTAGAAAGGTAACCTACAGCATAAATTACAACAATGACTGACTGGTACACAGGTAACCCACAACATAAAGTACAACGATGACTGGCAGGTACACAGGTAACATACAACATAAAGTACAACGATGACTGGCTGGTACACAGGTAACCCACAACATAAAGTACAACGATGACTGGCAGGTACACAGGTAACATACAACATAAAGTACAACGATGACTGGCTGGTACACAGGTAACCCACAACATAAAGTACAACGATGACTGGCAGGTACACAGGTAACCTACAACATAAAGTACAACGGTGACTGGCTGGTACACAGGTAACCTAAAACATAAAGAACAACAATGGCTGGCTGGTACACAGGTAACCTACAACATAAAGTACAACAATGACTGGCTGGTACATACGTAACCTACAAGATGAAGCACAAGGGTGACTGTGTGGAACTATTCATTCAGTTAACGATAGCGGTACCTTTCTTCAACTCTGATGCATCTCCGTCAGGCTTTGAGAAGCAGTGTCTATGAGCACTATATAGCCGTGCTCCGGGGCTCATCAGAAGACTATCATGCCGGGTGGCCTCGCATGTCAAGGTGCCACGCAGTGCCAATACTGACATGTTGTTCGAAGGGGCGTTGAACCAAACTCAGTTTGTCACTCCTGATGTTACACATGCACCGTTAAACTGAGCTGATGTAGAAAAAACACGTTGTGGTGTCAACAGTCCAAATTGATTTCATGAATAATATATTAACCGCCTAATCAGCAATTTGCATGCTCATAATAATCATATCGTGTGAATACAACCTACTCACTAGAACTAGTTACAGTCCAAACGTTGTCTAAGAAACACATGATGCTCACCTGCTTTACTACTCTAATGCAAAATTAATTCTAGCTATTGTTTTTGTTTACAAGCACCGGTCGTTTAGCTGCACAACACATTTAATCAACGAAAGTGAAGCGCTCTTATTTCTCAACAATAGTAAACATTGATTGGCTTGTCGATAGATCAGCGTAGCGGCAGCTGAGCCCGGTGACGCGTGATACCCTGCAACAACCCACAGCGCGGTGGACAGGGAGGGTAGGCTGCAGGGCACTCCGCCGGCGAAGGATAACAGTTAATTACACAAGTCTCCATACTCTTATATTTAAGGTGTGAACATCCGAATTCAGCGTAATTGTCGTCAAGCTTGTCACCATTAATCAACAATTTAGCAAAATGGATAAGGTTGTTCTCAACGTTTCGGGAAAGAAGTTTGTGACGTTTTGGAAAACTCTGAAAAAGTTCCCAGATACCAGACTCGGAAGGCTGTCCAAGACGTCAAAACATTACGACTCTGCATGTGACGAGTTCTTCTTCGACAGAAATCCGAAGGTGATGACTGTTGTGCTGGACATGTATCGGGAAGGGGAGCTGCACTTCCCCGTCAATGTCTGCAGCGCCTGTGTTAAACAAGAACTTCAGTTCTGGGACATCCCCGAGGATTTTATTTCTGAGTGTTGCTGGAAGAGGTATTCGATTGGTAACGAAGATAAGGCCATCGTGGACATTATTGAGAGTTTTATGAGTGTTGTCCCCGAGTTTACTGACAAGGACCACGATACCTGGAGGAAGAGGATCTCAAACACCCTGGAATACCCTACATATTCCAGTGTTGCTATGGTAAATCAGTGATCACAGCATGTACTTATGTATTGCCTTTTTCTCAAACGCAACTCTCTTTGCCCTTCTGCCATCCTTCCATCTAACTATCCATGTGTGTATAACTGTGTTAGTGCGTTCGTGTTAGTGTCTGGGTGTTAGTGTTTGTGTGTGTTTGTGTTTGTGTGTGTGTGTGTGTGTTTGTTTGTTTTTGTTTTGTTTTTGTTGTTGTTGTTGTTGTTGTGTGTGTGTGTGTGTGTGTGTGTGTGTGTGTGTGTGTGTGTGTGTGTGTGTGTGTGTGTGTGTGTGTGTGTGTGTGTGTGTGTGTGTGTGATATCTGCCTACATTGTATTGCGACTTTATTAGACTGACGTCCATCACCGTGCGGCTATATCCGGGCATAGAAAGCACTGATTTATCACGCAAATAAGACATGACTATTGTGATGCAAGTATAATGACAGTATAATGATTTATTTTACTCATTAGCTTGTAGCTGATTGTTTATTTTATATCAAATTGCAAAAGTCTGTTATTGCCTTATTCTCACAAAAACACCGTTTATACTTGTCAGTTGTGTGTTGATCTAAATATTTTTTCGCAGCGATGAGGTTGATGTTGTTGATGTTGATGCCAGTGTAAGTGATGTTGATGATGAGGATAGTGTTGTTGATGTTGATGTTGATGGCGAGGATAGTGTTGGTGATGTTGATGTTGATGGAGAGGATAGTGTCGGTGATGTTGATGCTGATGCGGATGGAGAGGATAGTGTTGTTAATGCTGATGCTGATGGAGAGGATAGTGTCGGTGATGTTGATGGAGAGGATAGTGTTGGTGATGTTGATGATGGTGTTGATAGAGTTGGTGATGTTGATGGAGAGGATAGTGTCGGTGATGTTGATGTTGATGGAGAGGATAGTGTTGTTGATGTTGATGGAGAGGATAGTGTCGATGATGTTGATGGGGAGGATAGTGTTGGTGATGTTGATGTTGATGGAGAAGATAGAGTTGTTAATGTTGATGGAGAGGATAGTGGTGGTGATTTTGATGGAGAGGATAGTGTTGGTGATGTTGATGTTGATGGAGAAGAAAGAGTTGTTAATATTGATGTTGATGGAGGGGACAGTGTTGGTGATTTTGATGGAGAGGATAGTGTCGGTGATGTTGATGGAGAGGATTGTGTCGGTGATGTTGATGGAGAGGATAGTGTTGGTGATGTTGATGGAGAGGATAGTGTCGGTGATGTTGATGTTAATGGAAATGATAGTGTTGGTGATGTTGATGGAAAGGATAGTGTTGGTAATGTTGATGGAGAGGATAGTGTTGGTGATGTTGATGGAGAGGATAGTGTCGGTGATGTTGATGCTGATGGAGAGGGTAGTGTTGGTGATGTTGATGGAGAGGAAAATGTTGGTGATGTTGATGATGATAGAGAGGATAGTGTTGGTGATGCTTATGATGATAGAGAGGAAACTGTTGGTGATGTTGATGATGATAGAGAGGATAGTGTTGGTGATGCTTATGATGATAGAGAGGAAACTGTTGGTGATGTTGATGATTATAGAGAGGGTAGTGTTGGTGATGTTGATGATGATAGAGAGGAAACTGTTGGTGATGTTGATGATGATAGAGAGGGTAGTGTTGGTGATGTTGATGATGATAGAGAGGAAACTGTTGGTGATGTTGATGATGATAGAGAGGATAGTGTTGGTGATGTTGATGATGATAGAGAGGAAACTGTTGGTGATGTTGATGATGATGGAGAGGATAGTGTTGGTGATGCTGATGATGATAGAGAGGAAACTGTTGGTGATGTTGATGATGATAGAGAGGATAGTGTTGGTGATGCTGATGGAGTGGATAGTGTCGATGATGATGATAGAGAGGATAGTGTTGGTGATGCTGATGGAGAGGTTAGTGTCGATGATGTTGATGGAGAGGATAGTGTTGGTGATATGAATAACTATCCACACTGACAGAAGTCACATGCTCAGCCAAATACCTGAATGTAACCTTTCAATCCTTCATTAATGAACTGATGAGAGCCTCTTCTTCCCAGGTGTGACTTTAGAGGGGTCATTTTTGTCACTGCATCCCAAGATAAGTTGCAGCCTCGTGTGTGGTAGTGGCCATTGCAACTGTACATATTGCCGCGTTTATTCATATCACTCACGTCAACATCCGTGGTCTGATCAATATAGATGCATAACCTTTTTCACATATCCTAGATATAGCACACATTTTTTTCATTTCATTGTATTCAAATCCATGTGTCATGGTCAATTAGTGCGTCCAGCCTTCTCCTATGTTATTAAATAACGAGGGCGATCACACAGAGCCGATTGATTAGAAACTGAACTGATGTGATTATGCGTTCACCACTGCTAACAACCTAATCACTCCAGTGTAAATATTTAACCTATGCGTGTCTAGATGTTGACACGATTACGCAGAAACACACTTTTTATCAACGGCAAACCTGTTTTGTTTTACTAGATGATCATTCGATGTATACCAGTCGAGATAATTCATCTTCCATATTTAGCCCATCCCCGATTACCCAGTGTGTTATGTCTCCAGTTAAATGTGATGACTAACTTGGGACCATTCGCCTCAGCTTTTGTTTTAGTCCGGTTCGAATAACACCAAGCTACAAATAGCCTCCCCATCAGGATTACTCTGTTAACAAGACATGATTGAAAAAAAACAGTATTCGACTGGTATTGGGGTGTGACTCTATACGGCTTGGAACGTCTTGCAACATATGGACTGACCCCAAGAAATTATTTCTTCCAGCTAAAAATTCCCTTTAAACAGTCTTCTGATTCGATCAAGGAGTGGGTGTGACTCCGCTTTGAAAGTATTTAAAGTATATCGTGCTTTGGACTGAAAGCCCACAGTGATGCAAGTACCATCGATATTTGTGGGGAGGGGGAGGGGGAGGATTGGTTTACGTCACATTTCAAACGTCATTATATTGTTGACTTAAACAATGCAGATGTAGGTGATTCTAAAACAGCTTGACATGTTCAAACTCTAAACTGCTCGAGGATTATAAACTTTACAATTACTAAGATTGTGGATGAGGAGCATTAATAGCATAACTTCTGATGTAAACTGACCAAGACACCTTACAAACCTTACCAAACTTACATGTGAACACGTTGGGTCAAAACCCTGAATAGTATTACAAAACCGTTGAGAATCAATCACCAAAACACAACCAAAATAGTAAAATAGTGATACAGTGCCCAGATCAATGGAACTTGAGTTTGCAGTGAAGCTTTGGCTTCACTTACAGCATGCTCACCTACACATACATGGGTATAAAGACACGATTTACTGTTCATTCGCACCCATATCGTTGAACAGTTGAGATTAACCTTCAATAGAAAGAAAAAGCTGCTGGAATGATGCATCAAGGAGCAACGCATGACGACGTCGCAAGGAGTTTTGGCTGTAGAAGAATGACAGTCACCAGACACATGACCTGATTCAGACAGACTGGGCGGACGAGAGACAGGCCTAGGAGTGAAAGACCTCCTGTCATCACCAGCCAGGGAACTGTACATGCGTATCCTCCATCTGAAGAACGATATTGTCACTGTGACGTCATCAGCTGAGGCACTCACCCTGTCAGTCGCTGGACAGTGTCCAGAAGACTACGTCAGTACAATATCAGACCTTGCATACCACTACGAGCCGTAAATGCTGACGCTGCAATACTGGTGAAACAGAAATTGACAAAGAGTCCTGTTCCCAGAGAGCAGATTCAATTTTTTTCTAGCAGATGGAATATTTTGTGTCAACCTCCGACAAGGAGAACATTGCTGTATTCCGTTTGGAGCTGGCAGAATCTGTAGCTCTGTCAATGCGGCATCATTAGCCCTGTCTAGACAGCATCTGTAGCTCTGTCAATGCGGCATCATTAGCCGTGTCTATACAGCATCTGTAGCTCTGTCAATGCGGCATCATTAGCCGTGTCTATACAGCATCTGTAGCTCTGTCAATGCGGCATCATTAGCCCTGTCTAGGCAATATCTGTAGCTCTGTCAATGCGGCATCATTAGCCCTGTCTAGACAGCATCTGTAGCTCTGTCAATGCGGCATCATTAGCCCTGTCTAGACAGCATCTGAAGCTCTGTCAATGCGGCATCATTAGCCCTGTCTATACAGCATCTGTAGCTCTGTCAATGCAGCATCATTAGCCCTGTCTAGACAGCATCTGTAGCTCTGGTAATGCGGCATCATTAGCCCTGTCTAGACAGCATCTGTAGCTCTGTCAATGCGGCATCATTAGCCCTGTCTAGGCAGCATCTGTAGCTCTGTCAATGCGGCATCATTAGCCCTGTCTAGACAGCATCTGTAGCTCTGTCAATGCGGCATCATTAGCCCTGTCTAGACAGCATCTGTAGCTCTGTCAATGCGGCATCATTAGCCCTGTCTAGGCAGCATCTGTAGCCAAGTCAAGACAGCTCTGGTGATTTTGGAAGGAAAAATCACTGGACAGCATAATATTGACAAATCTCTCTACTCTTTGAGAAGAATGGCGTTGCATCCCATTTCTTGTGATCAGACCTATCACATCTTCTTATCATGGTCGAGTCCGGGCGTGCATTGATGCTTGTGGTGGGAATACGCAATACTGACTGACAATTATGGCATTCTGAAGGATTTAAGGGAGTTTTATGTGCTGATTTCAGTCTTGATGGTTGATCGAATACTGAACAACTGACTCAAACTGACTCCTTCAAACTGTGGACACAATCGAAGTTATTTTGGTTCTCATTCATGGCATAACTTGTAATGATGTTCATATATAATTCATGTCTATTGACAATACAAGTATATTTATGTTGTATTTTTTCCTATTAAGGGTAAATGATGCTTAATGGGCATTTCGCATTAGTCAAAAACTGTTTCAGTCAAATCACAGCGGGAAAAGTAGAGTCAATAACCTTGTCCAAGGATACGACACAGTGACTTTCATGATATGGCATGTTCAAATCGAACATTTGAAAT